TTTTTTTGTTTTTTTTTTTTTTTTTTTTTTTTTGGGAGGACTGAACATGCCCTCTGGGCATTTCTTGTTTGGCTGGAGTATCTGGGTTCAAACCAGTGGAAATTGAGCCTCACTGCATTTTTAAGCAGGCACTTAAACAACTGAGCTAATGGGCGGGCCCCCAAGTGTGTCTTTTATTACTATTTTTTAATCAGCTGAAGACATTTTCCCCTTAGGTATCTGAAAGTTAATACATAGATAACAGATTAGACATAAAAATTTCTGTATTTTGTATCAGTTGATTTGTTGTTTTGCTCATGCTGATAAGTATAATTGATTTAGACTTGCAAAACGTGAATACTTTTTTAACTTTTTTTTTTTTTGCATGGGGAAAAGCATCTTTCTCTGAATTTGTGTGTTTTTTTGTTTTGTGTCCAAATACAGCATTTAGCTCATTTTCCTGGCTTTGATGCAGTATGAATTTTCTGTTCTTCATTTGGTCTGTTGGATTCTTTGCTTCTCTATCTTTAGTCCCTCCTTGACTTCGTTAATGAAGTACTTCCTGTCCAAGTAATCTCCAGAGATGAGTTGCCTTTTCATTGTCCCAGTTGTTATTTCTGGGCCGCACAGAGGAAACTGATACAGTGTAAGCCGTGTTGGTGGCATACCAGGAATCAAACCAAAACGTTCTGCCTTTGTCTAAGCAAGAGCCTATGTCAAAATAATGCTTTATTTCTCCAGCCAAAGCCAGAGAGCTCTTTAAAGATCTTTAAAGGTTTGCCATTTCTCCTGAGCTCATGTGCACACCGCATTTTAATGCCTACATTTTGATTTATGTTAACTAAAGACTGTCTTTCTCATTAACAGTTTTATTGATAGGCAAGAGTTTAAAACTTAATAATTCTTTATCAGTATCTACAAATAAAGCATGCCTGCTTAGTGCCTGGGATTTTAACTGTGTTGCATTTTTACACTTTGAATAATGGTGTTTTTTAACCACAGGCTTAGCAATCCTTTCATCAGATCCAATACCACACAGAAGGTACAAAAAATATAAATATCTGCTTGGAGATATCAGCTTTTGGTTGTTTTTTTTTTTTTTTTTTTTGGATTTTGAGATAAGGCCTTGCTTTGTAGTTGAGGCAGGCCTCGAACTCACTGTTAAGTTGAGGCTGGCTTTGAACTTGCAGCAATCCTCCTGCCTCAGCCTTCTAAGTAAGTAGCAACTAAACTGTGATGTGGTGGCACTGTGCCACCACATCACAGTTTAGTTCCCACCTTTGAAAATTTATCAAAATTGTGGATGTTGGCCAGGGAGATAGCTCAGTGGTTTAAGCACCTGCCTGGCAAGCGCAAGGGCTTGAGTTTGATCCCTGGTTCCAAAAACTAATATTAAAAAAAGAAAAAATTGTGGATGGTTTACATCTGTGGTAGAGGTGATAAACTGATGGGTTCATATAAGGAAGGAACAAGGGCAGGGTGTAGTTCTGTGAATGACTAGGGGGTCAAGGAATAATGGTGTTGCTTGCATCAGTGTTCCTTTTCCTGATGGCCTAATAGGGAGTGGCACTTCCAGGCAGAAGGAGTAGGGGACACGGGGGCACCCCTCTTGCTGCTGGCGTGGCAGACAGAAGCCCCTGAGGGCACTCACCCGCTCTTCCCTTTGTGGGGCAGAGAATACACAAAGTTTACATTGGCGCCTCCATTGACACCAGTTTATGTCTGCACCTTATTATATCTTTATGCTCACTTTTGCAAATTGTTTCTAGTGTAAATGAGGAAGTTCAGGCATTTTACATTTTAAGAAAATTTTAATGTGTTATTCTGTTCCTAAAGGAAAATTTGAAAGGCATATAAACAACTGAAGTGTATGCACTAGTTACAGATGCCTGTGTATTCTCTGTCGTCCCAGACATGGCACACATGATAGTATAGTAGTGGCCTAGAGGACAGACCAGCAGATGCCAGAGGAGTAACTCAAAGCAGGATCGAGCTGAGTACCTCTGCTTTCCTTGTGCCGTCTCTTGTATCACATAAAAGGTTGGGTCAGATCCTTGCTCAGTTCTGCATGCGGGCATATTTATTGCTTTGGGAGTGTCTGTGATACAAGGGTTACCAGTCCACATTTACTGACCTCGCTCATCTCCCTTCATCATTGAAGACCCAAGATAATAGCTACTCAAGTAGTTTTCAGGATTTAGTAGGTGTTACGGTTTGTGTGTAGTTGTCCCCCCAAAGCCTCATGTAAGTCATGGGCACGTGTGGCTGGAGGAGCAGGGAGTGAGGAGCGGAGCCAGAGGTGCAAACCGTTAAAACTGACAGCACATGCTGTCCCCCCAGGCCAGCAGTCTCTGAGGTGTGGAGGGGGTCATCCTGGACACTGTCGTGCCCCAGCCTCTTCAGACCCTGCAGAGTGGGGTGGCAGTTTCTGTAATTGAGGCTGCCTCCAGTAAAGAGGAGATGTTTAGAGAAGACAGAGACACTGACCCTCTCTCCTGTCTTGCTATGGAATTCAGGCTGTTTTAAACTATGAAATCTCCAGTAACTGTGAGCTGAGTAAACCTTTCCTTCCCTCATTTTGAGTGTCAGGTATTTGTCCCAACAATGAAAGAAGAGTAAGACTAATAGCTATTCAAGTAATTTTCAGGATTTAGTAGGGCTATAACCAATTGCCAGCTTTTATAACATCCAGTTCCAGGGCCCCACAATAATGCTTAAAAGTCTTCTGTCATTGTCCTAAAGTTGTAATCACTTAAAATTCCAGGAAAAGCAAAGCCTCACAGACCAAGAAACCAAGGCTCCCCGCCCTGAGCAGGAGCAGTCACCTTAGGGTGGGAAGCAAATTACCTGCTGGGCACTTAGCATTCTCCCAAAATCTCAAGGACCAGGCCTGCCAAGACGCTGGTTGGCCAGACCACAGTTTACCAGCATTAGTTATATTGTTAGCTGTACAAACCATCACTCTTGCCTTTGTTCTCCTTCCTATAAAAGCCCAAAGCTTCTGTCAACCCCTTAAAGATAGATCTTGAGCCTATTATGCTTCCCAGTACATACAGCCTTGCTGATTAAAGTTTCTTTCCTACCCTTCACCACTGGTTATCTGTATTGGCATTATCAAATATATAGCCAAGCCTGGGCTCTTGGAACACCAAATTCCACTAACAGTAATACAGAGGATCTCCATCCTCATTTCCGGTTACTAGAGCCAGGGCTAATAATTCTAATCTTAATGTTTAGTGTATTGGCAGATAATTTTGGCACTAGCTGATGGGAAATAAGATGTTTAGAACATTTTGCATTTATCTGTTCTTATTTGTGAAAAACTTTTAAAAACTTTTGGTCAAACCAAATTTTTCTCCTTGGACTATATTTATAAATGAGTTCTTTCATAGGACTGTATTTACAGTTGCATTTCCGGTAGTAAATGTTTGAATGAATGTGATCTTGTAGTTCTTTTTTGCTCCATTTTCTGTTTCTAAATTGTAAAGTATGCAGCCTTTAATACTAATTGTATTAGTGAAGGGAGTAACAAACTGTTGTAGGGTACAGTAATTACCATTTAGTGGAATCTTTTTTTACTTTTTTCTTTCGACTAACCAAAAGCCCCAGGGCAGTCCCAGGCCTCCTGTTATCTATCTGCTCCACCCCACAAACAAGGTATTGCAAATGCCTTTTGAGCCATTCAGTTCATTGGTTGTAATAGGGAATGTAGTAGTTTCTTTTCTTACATTCTCCAGTGTTATTCCAGAGACAATTTAGTAGTTCAGGTTTGGCTGTTTTGACCTTCTGGCATATTTGTTTTAAATTTGACTTAGGCCAAAGACCTGTAATTATGATTTGGTGGCTTTTCTTCCTCTGAATTTCACCATAATCAGTATCCTGCACTGTCACATTTCTCATCTAAGTTAGGCATGGCATTATGTGGTTGTTGTAGCGTTTCTTTTCTTTGATGAAAATACTTGACACTCACAGTCCTTTCTCTCTTCCCATTTTGGTATCTATGCTTTCCTACTAGGTTTTCTGTGTACGTATATAGTCTATAGGACTATATGGTAGTCTATGTGTTACGCTGGGAGTTGGGACTTTCATTGACCAATATTTGAAATTTCTGTTTTCTTTTTTTTTTCAATCCAGGACCTTTGCACTGAACTATGTCCTCATCCCTTTTTTTTTATTTTGAGGCAGGGTCTTACTGATTTGCGCATTC